TTCTCAGCTTCACTGGAAACGAAGTTTCCCCGAGTTTTCTGGTTCGCAGGACGAGATCGGCAGCCCGTCCGGCCCGTCACAGTGTCGTGGGGGAGCTTTTGACTACTTTGAATGGCAGCACTGTGCCGGTCTCCCCGTTTCCCCTCGGGGACCACGAAGAGGGCCTTCTTGTTCTCGCCGCGTCGAGGACGGCGAGGACGACGAGGACGATGCCCGCGGGGCTAGAACGAGGAGGCCGCCATTAGCACGTCGAGTCCGCCGGCCTTTCCTAACTATAAACTTGGCCGCGACGAGACGGCTAGGCCCGGGACGAGACGAGACTAGACGAGACGACGCGTCGCGCCCGTTTTTCTGACACGCCACGTTAACCCGCAGCGCGATCCCGCACTGCGTCCTGTCGCCCCGTCTCTCTCGCACCCCTACGGCACGCCCCGGGAGTGCGACAGAGACGGAGCGACAAAGACACCGCTCGGAGTCAGCCGGCAGGCCGGGTCGGCCCTGCCCGGCCCACCAAGCCCCTCTCCTCTCGCTACGAGGGATGACTGATTTAAAATTTGTTTTGGCGCGGCCCTGCTTGGCTAGGCGGCGGTGGGGGGTGGAGGTGGGGGGCTACATTTTGATGAGATGGCTGCTGTCGGACAAGAACGACCACCCAATTACACCCACAATCATTTCTCAAGCAGAACCTCGGCGCGAAGGAGAAGGAGAAGGAGAGCGAGCAGGTGAATCGCGGCCTGAGTCGCGAGGGAGAGCCAAACGTCGTGGCTTTGACTTTTCCCCGATCGCTGCTGTGCTGTAGAGGCGGAGCTCGTCGGGGTGCCCTCGGGGCGTGTCGCTGGTCCACCTGGGGCTCCATCTCGGCGGAGCTCGGCTGCGTTCGGCAGGGCTGGCGGCGTTGACGGCGCGTTGACGGCGTGGTGACGGCGCCCCCGCCGGCGGTGGGCGGCCAAACGGTCCGCGCGCCCACCTGATTGATTACCGTCGTGGCCGTCTCGCAACAGCTGCCGCGGCCCCTGCGAGTCCCAACCACGGCCCGCGGCCCCGCCCCGTCACGCCACTGTACAGTACCGCCACCGCCAGGCCGTCAGGCTGGACGGCTGCGACAATACCGGCGCGCTGTGCGGCGCTGCGTCACGGCGGACGACACCTTTGTGCTGCGCGGCGCGCGGAACGCGGCCCATTCCAGGCCCCCACCAGCCCGACCCCTCCCCCGCGTCGAACGCAGCCAACTCGAATTCCGCTCGCCGAACGCCGCGCTCGCTGCGAAAGACAGTAAGACAGTCGCCTCGTTTACACAAAGAGACGAAGAATGAATTAGACGGAGAGGCTGCGAACACGCCGCGCCCTCGCTGCGCGGCCTGAGGCAGCCAGAGGCAGCCAGAGACTCTGGTCCGCGCCGAGGCAACGCCAGAGGCAACGCCAGAGGCCACGCCAGAAGCAATTAGCCGACATCCGTATCGCCGCGCCATTTCATTAAGGGATTAAGGGCCGCGGCGCCACGGACGGCGGCGGACGGAGGCCGACGGCCACCTGCTCCGGTTTGTCACCTTGTTGCCAAAGTGCCGCATCATGTACGAACGGCGGGGGGAGGGTCAAGTTGCCGGTCGTAACTTTGCGGAAACGAAGCAGCAGAGGAAGAGGCGATGCTGGAGGCGGCGCCATGTGGCGGAGCGGCCGGAGCGGGCAGCACAACCCCCTTTCATTTCCTTGATAGCTCCTGTCACCACACTGCCGCCCGGCCCTGGTTCCGCCCTGGGTCCGCCCTGGCCCGGCCACACGGCCGGGGTCGAGCCTTGGGTCCGCCCTGGACCGCTGTGTGTGAAGGCGTGTCCGCCGGATCAGTCACGCAGCGGCGCAGCGGCGTAGCCAGAGGCAGGGCGGCAGGGAGGGAAGGGAGGTGCCCCGACGACCCGACCCGACGTGACGGAGGAGGTCACCGACGCCACCGGACAGGAGCGGCTCCTCCGAGACGCCCGTTTGTTTCTCATCCATTTCCCGTTTCCGCTAACTTCACACCCCTCCCTCGCTCCCTGGGCGTCCACCGCCCGCCCGCCGCCCGCCGGCCCTGGCCGGAGGTTATTATATCAGTTTATGGAACACAAACTTTGGGGCACACAAAATCCCCCTGGGTCGGTCCCTCCCCGGTGGTCCCTCCCCGACGCCGCGCCCGGACCAGGTGGTGTGTGGCCGTGTGGTACGTGGTGCTGGTGGTGCTGCGGCGGCGGTTTCTCGAACTACAGATTAGCGCAGCCCGCCCCACCCCGCCGCGCCCTGCCACGGAAGCAGAACAGCGATCAGCGCAAAAAGAGGACCAGGACGCACAAGTAAAAAGAAGTCACGTTTGGAGGAGTGCGCGGTCCGCCGATGGGTTTCGAACCCGGCGCCGGCAGTGGCGGCGGAGAGCGCTCGTTGCGACGAAAGGATTTTTCTGTCGGGCTGTCGGGGTTGGCCGAGATGTCGTCGAGGCCTTTTGCGCGGCGAGGGATGGAAAGGAGTCCGCCAAGCCTCGAGGCCGCGCCGTGCCGCGCCGCGCCGAGGCCACGCCGCCACGGCCTGGCCGTACGCACTCGCACTACGGACTTCGCCTCTGGAGAAAGGGGGCTCGAATGGCCGGCCTTTGTTTCCAAATGGGAAAGTAAAAGTGTGGCGAGTCGGCAAGCCGGCCTCGGAGCTCGAAGGCTGAAGGCTACACCCGCCGGCCCGGCCCGGCCGACACCCACTTCCGCTCCAGCCAGCGCAGAGTGCGTGGGCGGGGTGGGGCGGCGGGGGGCGGGGCTGTCGGGGCTGGGTTTCCTTTCTACCCGCGTTCACAACGCTATATTTTCGCTCGGCCGCTGCCCGACCTCCGGCGGGACGGTGGATGATGATTCCATCCAAGAACCTATACTCGATGTCGGGGGCCGGCGCGGCCGGCGGGGTCGGCCACCCCGGGTCTCGGCGGGGCCCGTCCTGGACCTCGGCCCGGCGAACCGCTCGGCCTGGCCTCGCCGGACATCTCCGGACCGCTTCCTCCGGATCAAGCTCCCGGAGACGACATTTTATGCACCATTACCCGAGCCCTGACCCCGGCCGACACTTGAAAACCCGACCAGGACTCGCGGAGGGTGGCACTGGAGAGTGGGAGAGAGACAGAGAGAGGCGGGGAGGAGTCGTCGCCGACGTCACTAAGTGTCCACTCCTGGCCGATGCTTCCCGCCTGCGGGGATGAGGCCCCGCCCCGCCCCGGCCGGCACACCGCACTCAGGGCCTCTGCCGACGCGGCCGTGGGGCGTGTAGTGGGGCTCGGGGGTGGACTGCTTGTCGTCCACCGGCCGCAGGGCGCGCCGCGGCGCTCCATCACACATTCATGCGCCAGTCCACCGTATTCCTTCTATCTGGCCGTGCCCATGCGGCCGTGTGCCCACAGCGCACTGTTAAATTTATTTCCGAAATCCCCGGAGAACTCGTTGGGATAAAAACTGCCTCCGAACCTCGGTGAATGCCCAAACCGCCACTGTTTCTAACTCGTATGAGTTTCTTTTTGAAGAGCAAAGCCTCCTGGACGGAGCTTCGGAACGCACTGCCCGGGGTTTCCCAATTTCCTTCGAACAGTGTGGATGAGCCCACAGTGGATGAGCCAGCCCTCAGTGCCCACGGCCGGCCAGGCCGGCAAGGCCGGCAAGGCGGCGGGGCCCCTCTCCGAGCGACACTCGAGAAGGCTTTTCGGCCGTCCAGGCGCGGCGCGGCAGGACGCGCCGTGGATCGAATGTCGCCGTCCAAGTTCGGCGTCCGAGCACTTATAAGCCGCAGGCGGAAGAGGGGGGGGGGGCGCCGCCATTACTTGGAGTCCTGCGGCCTGTGGACTCCGGTTCCCGCGGGCTTTCAATTGGAGTCGCCGCTGGGGCGGCCGGGCCGTCCTGGGGAGGCGGTCGGACAGGGAGGCGGCCAGGGCCGGGGAGGAGGCCAGGAAAAGTTGCCTGACGGCGCGGTGTAGCGCTCCGGCCTCAGGTATCCGTAATGGAGTACTCGAGGGGCAGCGCGGCGAGGCGGTTCGGGCGGGGCGAGCAAATACGCAGTCCACTCATCAAATTCCGAACGCCATCACCGCGCCGAGTGTTTGCTCTATTCAAATCGACTGCCATCCAATCACATGTTTACCGAGGGGCTGCATATTTCACGCGCCGAAGGACGCGGATTCGCCTCGGTGCTCGTGAATCGCGAGATTCGGCAAAGAAGCCCCGAATCTATGACGAAACCTTTTCGCCTCGGGCCGAACCCGCCGCGCGTCCCCGCTCAGTGGGATTACGGGGCGAGCGGGCCTCCGCGCCTATTGGTGCGGAGGAGCATAAAATAAGCGGTTTGGAGGCGAAGGGCAGGTCGCGGCGTGGAGGGGGGGAGGGGGCGCTTAATGTGGACCGCGAGCCGTGGGGAGATTAAAACGATGCGTGGAGGAGAGAGAGAGGGAAGGGGGAGGCAGTGTCAACGGGGGCGGGGAGGCGCACTCTCACACACCAGTCCCCCTTCCTCTCTCTCTCACTCACTCACTCCCCGCACAGTATCACGCGTGCGTTCTTTATCTTGTCAGCCGCTGCCCAGAAGCGGCAGGCAATGAGTCGGACGGGATGGGATGGCGCTGTTGTGTCTCATTTTGCGCGAGGCGGTAAATATTAAAAAGAGAGAGAGAGAGAAAAAAAAGGGATGAAAAATGTAGCGACCCTCGAGTGCTCTCATGCGTGGCGTGTATTTGCTGCCCTCGGCTTCCCCGATCCGGGCGAAGGCGGCGCGTGGGACTCTCAGCGACGTTTCGATCCCGGTGTAGATTCATCGAGCCGCGTTCCATTACGACGCCTTCTTTCACGTCTGTTGACGCAGCCAAGTGGCGTGGCGGCCTTGCCTTACAGCGCTGGCGGCGGGGCGGGGTGAGGCGGGGCGGGGCGGCGCAGATTTCTCTTTTCGAAAAGTCACAAGTGTCATTTCCAATCCGGGCGTGAGAATAATTTGCATTGGTATTCTGTTTCCAGGCCGAGGAGTCGCTGAGGCAACCCCCGGGACCGCGGAATAAGACCAGCTCGAAGTAAGGCCCCGTTTCTTGGAACCGCACGACCGCGCTGCTGATGGGGTAGATCGGGGTCGAGATGGGTTGCTGCAGGGCGGCCAGGGCCACGGCCAGAGCACTGGGTGCAGCGCGGCTGGCTGCCCGCGCCGTCTCACTGCACGCCCACAATGCGAACGTGCACGGCGCCGCCACCGAGTAGTGCCCGGTCGCTCTGTCTCTCTCGCACGCACGCGGCGTCCCGTCGACGCCTGCGGGAGGGAGAGAGACAGAGTTGAGGCGGGGCACGGTTCGGAATGAACTGCTTCCCGGCCGCCTCGACGTATCGGTGGCCTCGCCTGGCTGGCTCGCCGCTCGGTCGCCGCAATAACCAAAACAACGAAACAGGTTTCGGTTCGGCCGCGTTGACCGCGCGCTGCGGTCAGGCCGGCCGGGGCGGCCACACCGCATTGTGGTGCGCGGCGTGAACGCGCCGAGGTCCGCGTCGTCGCGGAGTCCATTGTTCGCGCGGAACGCGGTCAAAGGCCGTGGCGCTGGCCGTGGCGCGGGGCGAACCGCGCATCTCCGCCGCCACGACGCGGCAGTTACGCCGCGAGGCCCGCGCTAACGCCACCGCGCACCTGCCTGCCGCCCAATCTGGAGGGCCGGAAAGGGAGCGCTGCGTTCCGGTCGGGTCGGAGCCGAGGTCGGAGCGTGCACGTCGCGGGCCAGCACACGCGGAAGATTGGACGCGGAGGGGGAGGCCGCTGGCCGCGCTGGCTGCTCCTCCTCCACCCCGACTCCCCGGCCCTCACACCCGCCGCCCTCCGCCGGAACAACGCCCGCCCGCCTCTCGCTCGAGCTGTATGTGTCGAGGCGGCGAGGCGTCGGGGAAAGGCCGGGACGGGAAGGGAAGCGGGCTAACCGGCCGGATTTGCCAAGGCCGGAATGTTTTCTTTGCAAACGTCCCGCAGCGCCGCGCCGCACGCTTTGAGCGGGACACCCAGGGACACCGCTCCAGCCACTGCCTTCGTTTACCAGACATTTGTAACTTTCCGCTCCGGGGGCGGGGCGGGGCGGGGCTCGTCGAGTTCCATCCAGCACAGTGTCTGCGGCTGCGCTCCGTCCGGTCCGGGAGGTCCGGGCGCCCGCGCGGTCCGGCATAGGCAACCCGCCGGCGCGCGTGCGTGGCGGGCTGGCCTACCCGCCGCCCGGCGGGCGCTGGAGCCAGCCTGCAGACAGACCGCGTCAGAGAGCTGTCTGTCTGTCTGTCTGTCTGTCTGTCTGTCCGTCTGTCTGTCTGTCTGTCTGTCTGTCTGTCTGTCTGTCTGTCTGTCTGTCTGTCTGTCTGTCTGTCCGTCCGTCTGCGGACGCGCGGTGTGTGTTCTGCGGGGCAACATTTCTGTTCGTCATTTCTCGGCCGGCCAAGGGCGAGCCAAGAGCCTGATGCCTGCTGCTGACAAATCGTGCTGGTCCTGGGAAACGACGGCCCCAGTGCCCGCAGCTCTCTGCCTCTGCGCTGCTGACCCATTAGCTTTTTATGCAGCCGGCAGACTGCCGCCCCGCCCCGCCCCGACCCCGACCAGGCCGGGCGCCCTCCGGTCCAGAGATGGTTTTCCGCCTTACGGTAACCTCCCAAAAAAAGAGGAAAGTTTGTTTGTTGGTGAGATTGCTAGGTTGGCGGTGCGGCTTGCGGTGCCCCTGCTCGCTCCCCGGGGCCGTGCGGGGGGGGGGGGGGGGGAGGCAGGCCGGCTGGCAGGCTTTTCACGTAAACAATGTTGCAGGCCTGCAGGTGCACACGGTCGGACAAGTTTTCGACCCTCGGGGAAAGTCAGCTGGCGTCTGCTCTCCCTCTCCCCCTCTCTCTGGCTCGGCCACTTTGCGACGGCGTTCGTCGGAGGTCTTTCATGCAGCGCGTCGCGGCGCCGGACTCCACGACAGCCATAACAAAGGCATCCCCTCCCCCTCGCAAGCATTTATTTTTCATTTGGCGACGCGCCCCGTCTTGCGCAATCTAGACTGCGCTTTTTTATGTATCCCGGCCCCCCGCAGGGCCGCGCCGCCGCGCCTGCACTGCGTACAACGCGCTTTACCTGGATTAGCCCGGGATTTTTGTTTTCACCCCGGGGAAAACAGGGGGGGGGGGCGCTGAAAAGCAGTGGCGGTACGAATGGGGACCGGCGGGGAGGTCGTCGTCCAAAGCACTAGTCAATGGGAAAACGACTCAGTAATTTCCCAGAGCGCTCGGGGCCACGACGTGGGGCCAAAAGAGCCTTCCGAGAAGGCGCTGAAAGGCTAGAGCCACGCGCGCGAGGGACGCAAGCAGGACGCAAGGGACGCACGCTAAGGACGTTCCTTCCCCCGCCAGCCTCGCCAGCCTGCTCTGCGGCCCCGAGAGCGTCACTATGAATTTTCATAATTTTTTTTTTGAATGCCCAAAGTTAACCCAAACTCGCGTTGGACGCGCAATCATTAATATTTTTCCCCCGTGGGATCTTTTTTCTAAATTCTCTCTCTTTGCCGTTTTTCGGGGGGTTTTAAACGGGCGTATTCCGGGCGCGCGGCATGAAGAATGTCGGTCATGCCGGCTGCTCCGCGGCGCGCGCCGTCTGCTCCACGTGTTTTAAATCTCCATCCCCACGCCGCGTTAATCAAGCGCAATTTAGCGACTCCACTAATTAATTCAAACCCCTCTCGACCACTCTTCTTCCCCTCAGTCCCGGCCGTCCGGGGCGCCGTCCGGGCGTCCGGGCCCAGCAACACTCAAACTTTTACGCACCCCCCGCGCGCGCGCCCGTTTTGTGTCCAGTTTTCTCGTGGAGTGAAACTTTTCACTTTTGAGGGGGTGCGCCTTATTTCCTATCCCCAAATAAATTTCATTGTCCCGGTCGGAGACTCGGAGTGCCAGCGGCAGCGCGGCAGCGCCGTCGGCGTCCACACGGGCCAAAAGTTGAGCCGAGTCCATTGCCGAGAGAATGACGTATTCATTCATGCAAAAGTCCTTCCATTCAAGAACAGCCTCAACCATTCCGGCGGCCCGCCCCGACCAGTCAAAGGCGCGCCCGGACAACAGTGGATGCGATTTTCTACGCAAACGAATCGGAGAAACACCGGGGGAAGCGGCCAACGTACCGTTTGTCAAACTGACGTTTCGCGCTCAAACTCCCGCCGGAGATGTCCCGCAAGTCCCGGATGGCTTCCCGTCTCGCCGTCGGCGGCCTTCCGGAGCAGACGACGCATAAAACATGCATGTGTATAACTTTGGACCATTTCTTTTTTTGTCTTTCCAGGATGAAGCTGTGCCGCGTCGGCAACCAGACCAACTCCCCGGACCCCATCGCCGTCAACTCCAGGGTCTTCGTGGGCAACCTCAACACCTTCCAGTGCTCCAAGGCCGAGCTGGAGCGCATGTTCCAGCGTTACGGCCGCATCGCAGGTAGGCAGACAACCCCCGGTCCCCTCAAGCAGCTTCAAAGTAGACGCCACTGGCCACTTTTGCCTGCAGATTACGACTGCCTTTCTAGAAAGAGAGAGACAGGGGGGAGGGGAGAGGGGGGGAGGGGCGTCGAACCCGACGCGACGCCATTGAAAAGGCGGTGCGAATTACTTCCCAAGTTTCTCATTATGGCCGAATGGCCAGATAACTATGTGCCGCGCCAAACGGCATCGGAAAAAAGCCGCAAAAAAGAGACCGCTAAGCCCCCATCGCGCCAACAGGCCCAACAGGGTGCGGCACACTGCGGCATCGCCAGGCCACCCCTCATTGGATTGGATTGGCCGCCGCCCTCACTGCCTTCGTTGAATGTCTCAGTTTACGTGCATGGATTAGCAAGCGCTGCCTTCTCCACGATAAATCACCCCCGTTTTTTTAACGCCGCTAATTACTTGTCGGCTCTGCGGGGGGCGGCGGAGGAAGGGGAGGCCCGGAAATGTCGCGACGATGAGTCGGTCTCCGCCGCCGGCACCGGGGGCGGCACCGGGGGCGAGGCCTGCGGCGGCGCTGTCCCTCGGTGCGCGGGGCCCGCAGGGGGCGGTGGGGGCGGCCTCTTGGCCCCCTTGGTGGTGCCGTGGCCGCTGCTTTCAACTCATTGCCCCCGCGCTGGCCCTGCTCCCCGCCGGCACGGCCGACGCCGCGCTCGTTGGCGGCCAAGACCCGGAACTGTCTTCGTGACAAGGCGGCGTGCGGCGACAACACAACCAGAGCGCGGCGTCGCGGCGTCGCGCTGTGCGTGCGTCGGCTTGGCGTCGTCGTCGTCGTGGGCACCGCGCCCGCGGGGGAGGCGTGTGTCGACGCGCGCGTCGCCGCGGGGCGCCAAGGTGTAACAGGTGAGGCTTGCGGTGTAGGCTTCGGGATTTCAGTCCTGCCAAGCCGCCGCCCGGGGGGTGGGGGCAGATCACAGGGCGAATAAGCGCCCCCCCTCGCCCCTCCCCCTCCCCTGTTGTCACGTCACTCCCGCGGCTCGGCAGCCCCCCGACGACCGTTGCCAGTAAGTTTGGCGGCGAGGCAGGCAGAGAATCTCGCAGAGAACCTCGCAGAGAATGCGACCAGGGAAATGGGTGTGACAGCCGGGGTAATTCGAGGCGTCGTCACACTGCTACACTCTGTACTCCGAGGAGAAAGTTTCGTGATCGAAGTTCGGTCGATTATTGGCAGCGAGAAAAAGAAAGAAGTTCGATTTGAGTTGCGGCCGGTTCGGGCGATAATGCGAGCAATAATTAAGGGCCGCCACTGGCAGTCTCATCGACCCGTTGTTGGCCGATTGAAACCTCCCAAGAAGTGATCTGAAAGTGCCTGAGACTCTGTGACGCGCTGTCGTTTTGTTGCAGGCATCTCCATGCACAAGGGGTACGCCTTCGTGCAGTTCGCCAACGCGTTCGACGCCCGCAGCGCGTGCCTGGGCGAGGACAAGCGGGTCGTGCTGGGCCAGACGCTAGGTGAGTAGGCCGCCGCACTAACGAAACTTCCCTAAAAACGGTCTCAAAACAAGAAAAGACGAAACGAAGAGGGTTTTGGAAATCGTTTGGATTTTGACAAATGTGTGTTGAACGGAGTCCTGTTTGTGGTTTTTGGATCTATTATAATGTGAGCCGTTTTTGTTTTGAAACTAGGCAGAAAACCTCACGCTATTCTGGTTTTGTTTCCAGATGTAAATTTGGTGTCTGAGCCGAAGGCTCACCAAACTGGTAGAAAGAGGCAAAATATAACGAAAACTGGGAACGACTGGTGAGTTTTGTGAGTCTTGAAGAAACTTTTTTTTTTCGTCTGTGGACGCGACCCTTGATTTTTGTGCTTCTATACCATCGTAAATCCTGTGATGTTGTAGGAACTGTTTTGTCTCTTGACGAGGAAATCAAGTACGATAGTTACTCCACCCGCTTCCATAATTTTTCCACCCACGCGCACTTATCTCATTGGTTTATTTCTTTTGTATTAAAAAATTCGGAGCGTTAGTAAAGCCGACACAGCAACCTCTAGGCCCCCCTTTTGCACTCAAAACATGTGCATTACTGACAACCCGCGAAGCCACAAAACTCATGCAAATCTTTCTGTTTTTTGCAGGGACTATTACTATGATAGGTAAGTAACTCTTGTGTTGCTCGCGCCTTTTTACTTTCCACACTCGGTAGTTTGTCTTGCGTCGTTTGGAACGAGAGCTTGCGGGTTCCCGGGTAGCGGTCGGAACCGGAAACACGACCGAAAACGAGGGGGCGGTCCTCAAAGTTGGCGCGGGTGCGCGGCGCGCGGGACGCAGGGTTTATTTGTTGCAGGGGACGCTCTCTTGAGCGCCACTTGATGGGAGAGTGGTGTGGGCCGTGGGCCGTGGCCGTGGGGGTGGCGGATCTGGCTGGACCGCGCGTCCCTTTGAGACCGGCGCGCACTACATCGACATTGGCGAGGCGAGGCGTGGCGTGGCGTCGCGCGGTGGGTCCCTGAAGGGAAAGGGGGTTGTTGGCCACCGGAAACGGACGCGCGGCCCTGCCCCGCCCCGCCCCGCACCGCGCAGCCAGGGCTGTGTACCCGCCGAGCGCTCGCGCGCCACAAAGGCCTCCCCAATGTCCGGCCCGTTTGGGCCGGGCTCGCCTCGCCTCGCCTTGCCCGGACACTTCGAGGGGGCTGCGGTGAAGAACACCCGCAGGAAAAGTAGTGTAGACGCCAAAAAAAAATCAAAGAATTTTTTTTTTATGATTATGACACTAAGCACCAAAAATGGCGCGGTTTCTCTCGTCGGCGTGTGCCTATTGAAACGCCTGCCAAACGTACAAATTGTTCATTTTCCATTTTCAGCCGGGTAAAGTCTTTTTCTTAGCCCTATAAAGACGCTTTAATCCCTGCTAAAAGTCAGGAAGTAGAAAAAAAAATTGACGTTGTTTCAAAGCCCCTATCTCCAGGCTCAGCTCAAACGCGGCATAGCCTCAGCCTCCAGCGAGCGGCAGCTCTTCTTTATTTCCATCCCCCCCCCTCCCCCCTCCCCCTCTGCAGACACACTGCCGAGGGCCGTGGGGCCGGGGGCCCGTGACTCACGCCGCGTGCTGTTGGCTCGCGCACGGCCGCGCTCTCGACACCTGTATAAATATCGCCTGCAGAGGCGGCAGCACTTTTGGCGCCGCGCGAGGGGTGAAGGGACGCCTTGGGGGAGGGGGAGGGGGGGGGGGGCAGTTCGACGCAGGCCTTCCCGCTTCCTCGTCACCCAATCAACAACAACAAGTTTGTGTCCGCCGGGCCGGTGGCGCTGATTATGGCCGGCCCAGCCCTAAACATGAAACTGCCGCGTTACACTGACAAATCGCCTTCCCGATCGCGGACAGCGAAACGGCGGCAATGCCGAGAGAGGGAGAGGGAGACAGACAGACTGCAACGCACTGCGGGCAGACGTGCGCTTCTATTTCGGATAGAAAGAGACGGGCGATGCTGCGGTCTGACTGCCGCTGCAACGCGGGGGGAAATAAAAAGGAAATTCGCCACGTGTATACTGGCACACTCTCGCGGCGCCCGCGGCTGCCAGTGTGGCGTGTTTTACGTGTTTTACCACTCAGCGGGCGGCAAGACGAAGGTGAATTGGGTCCGCCGTGGCGTAGGTCGTGAAACGGAAGAAGTAGGTGAGGACGCCGCCGCGGTGCCGCCGCGTCGGAATGGAATGCCTGTGGCCCTCGCGCCGAGAACAAAAATATTTCTCCGTTATTTTCGTGGACCGCGCCAACAACATGCCGCAGTAAATTGCCCGTAAAATGAAAGCCGCGGGGTTTTGGGTGCCGTGCCGACGAGTGCCTCTGCTCCAGCCTCTCTCCCTCTCCGCACGACGCGGAGGCCGAGGCCGAGGCCGAGGCCCTGGTCACGGCAACGGGTTTACGGGCGCGCCCGCCGGCACCACTGGCCCCTGCCCCGGCCACGGCCCCGGCCTGCTGTCTCGATTGGAAACAGATATCGCGCAGCTTGCAAGTCACTGGGGACTGGGGGCGCCGGCGCATCGCTCTCTGTCACACAGTCACACTGCCAGTGGCCTGGCCCTCTGCGCCGCCCGCCCCGCCCCGCCACGCCACGCGGCGCCACACCCTCAAATCACTTTTCCCCGTTCGGCCTGCATGGCGGCCTGCACGGCGGCCTGCATGGCCCGAAATAGCGACGCGCAGTCATCGCGGTGCAGCAGTGCGGCGGCGCGGGGACACCGAGAGGACGGCGTTGTTGAAGGAGCCGGCACTAAAGTAGATCGCCGCCGCCCTGGAGCGCGACCGCCGTAAAAACGTCTCGTCGCCGCCGGCCTCCTGGGCCGTGACCTTCCAGGCCGCCGACGACGCGGGCCGCCGCCTCCGCGTTTAGGGCGGGCCTTCGGGCGAATATTCGTTTTATTGGGGAGTGCGCGTCATCGTGCCGGACAGCGACAGCCCTCGTCGGCCCGCGAAATGTGTCAGGCCGGAGAAGTGGAGGGATCACTTTGGTTTTCCATCGGGCCCCTCCCTGGACGGCAGCGCGACCGGCGCCGCCGCCCCAGTCCTCTGTCAGTGTCAAAAGCATCCCGGCCGCCACCCCTCTACCGCGCCACTCGCGCACGGATACGTGTGCGTCGCGCTGGCGCGCTATCGCCGCGAGGTCGCCGAGGTGTCTGGCCCATTGCTCACATCTCACGGCCCGTCTAGCCCTCATGTCAAGGCACTGCTTGGCCCGCTCAGCGCGCTGTCTGTCCTGCGGCCCGCCCCGCTCGGCCCGCTAGCTCTCGTTCCAAACGTACCGAGAAAAAGACAAAAAGAAAATTGCCTGCAGGGTGGGCCCGTTTTGGACTGCGTGGAATTACGTCCGGATTATACAGTCCAGTGCTGCTGTGAGGACTGTACCACAGTCCAGCACTGCCGGCGCGGACTGTATTCGGAATTCACGCGGTCCGCGCGCCCGCTCTGCGGACAATGTCTGCACTTAATAGACGCGGAAGTGGCTTTGCGACGACCTAACCAAACTCGGGCCTCGTGACCGCGCCCACTAAACCAACCCGCCTGCTTTGCGGGCTTTGCCTTTGCAGCTACTACGCCTCCGTGGGGCTGCCGACCGGGCCGCCGCCCCCACAGAGATTGCCGCCGCCCCCGGGGCCGCCCCACAAGCGGCCGCGCCTCATGGTGCCGCTGGGCAGGCCGGGGCCGCCAGGGCCGCCCGTGGCGCCGCCGGGCCCCGCGCCGGGCCCCAAGCACGCGCCGCCCATCAACGGCCACCTGCCCATGGGACTGGCGCACGCCGGCCATGGCCACGGCCCGCACGCCGCCCTGGTGCAGGGGCCGCCGTCGCCGCCCCTCAACGGCCACCACCCCGCCGCCATCAACGTGTTCAGTGAGTACCAGCACCGCCCCCGCCAGCGTCACGCCCCCGGCGCCGTCATCGTCATCGCCGCCTTGTCTGTTGCCAGGCAACCCGGACATCCTGATATGCGGCAACTGCCGGGAGATGTACACGGACCTCCAGGAGCTGCTGAGCCACAAGAAGGCGCACTGCAAGCTCCGCTTCGCCTGCAAATGTCACACGCTCCCGGAAGGCAAATCCAGTAAGTTGGCGGCGACTAGGCGAGTTGCTGTGTGACTTTCCAGTTGAGTCCGCGCGACAGTGGGCTGATTCCGAACAGTGCTTGCGTCGTTCGGTCTCCCTCCGGCCCCTGAGTGCGAGAGAGACAGAGCGATGACAGCCGGCAGGGTTGACAGAGCTGCTCTTGATGCAGATCACGAGGCCACGCTGCTGTGCTCGTCGTGCCGGGCGAGCTTCTCGTCGGCCTGGGACCTAATGGTGCACGTGCAGGCCGCGCACATGCTCAACATCTACCAGCTCGGCATGCCGGCGGACCAGGGCGACCGCGCCGCCAGGGTGAGTCTAGCTACGACACTGCTTGGCGCCAGGTGCGCCACCTGTAACGGGGAGAATGAACGCCGTCGTTGTGGTCCCCCTTCCAGAGTCCCACCCCTCCCTCGGGATCGGGAGGCCAGTCGCCGCGGCAGTCGCCGCCACCGAACCTCCAGACGACGGCGCTGTCGGCGCTGCCCCCTGGGCTGCCCGCGCTGCCCTCGGCGCTGCAGCAACAAGTGGACCAAACTCTTTTATTACCGGCCGCCCAGCTGTCGCCACAGCCTCATCAGGATCCTCATCAGGAGCAGCAAACAGCCACACAAGTTAGCGCCAATCCTACCGCCGCCGCGCGGCTAACTCGCAGCTTCGCGCTCCGCTCGCCGTGCCCGCTCGTTGGGCACGCCGGCACTGCAGCCAACCGGCCGCTCAAAAACTCCCTCTGCTTCCAGGCGACGACGCTGGACCATCTGATCGACTCGGCGAACGCGTCGCCGGCGCCGCCATCGCCGTCAGTGCCGCCCTCGCCGTCGGCGTCCTCGTCCTCGGAGGTTGACGAGCTGCCGGTGCCGCTGCAGGACGTGGCCGTCGCCTCCCCCACCGCGTCCTCGTCCTCGGACCAGGACATGGCGGTCACCTCCCTGGCGTCCCTCGCCACCCTCACCTCCCTGGCCACCGCCACCCTGCAGTGCAACCTCAAGGCCGTGGTAAGTCCCGCTCAGCACCAAGTCGTGGCGCGAACGGCGAACAGGCGGGCCGGCCGGAATCGGCACGCTGTTTCTTTCTCACCGACGATCTGAATGATGGCCCGCCCGAAGGGCGGCTATAACCAGTACGCCGCGGCGGTATGAAAAACTGCGCGTCGACGCCGGCAGCAGTGGCGTTCCACCGGTTCCTTCTTTCCACCCATTGGCAGTCGAGAAAGAAAGCGATGGCGGGCCGAAGCATGAAGCAGAGCCGAACAGCAACAGCACGTCGATTAGGCAGCTCGACGGCGAGGCCGTGGCGGCCGTGGCGGGGCGTGGCGACTCGGCACAATGATACCCCGTTTTATTGCGAGCCGCTAATCACTCCCCCCATTTGCTGCCGTCATTTTTGGCCGCATTGTCTCCGCGCCCCCATACATTCGCAACTGCCAAACGAATCCCCGCGCTGATGCAGCCCAAACGACCATTCCTTTCTCGCTCTCGGCCCTCCCATTTATTTTTCTGTGTGTCTCTCCCTCCCTCCCTCCTTCTCCTCGTTGGCACTCTGAGTATCTGTCGGAGTGGCTCTGCTTATCTGGGAGCAAGGGCCGTGGCGCCTTGGAGATGCAGGCGCCGCCGTCGCCACCAAGTTGCCACCGAACCGCCACCCCGGCCGGCGTACCCCAGCGGGGGCCCTCTGCCTTATCAGCGTAAAGACCTCGCCACGCCCCGCCACGCCCCGCCACGCCAAGCCTCAATGGCGGGGAAACATAAGCAGCGAGTCCCTGGAGTTATTGACGTGCGGTTTATCGCTCGGATGAGCTGAGGAGGAAGGAGCGCTTTCCGTGGGGCTGATCGCCAGCAGGGTGGGGGAGGGGGACGGAGTAGATCAGTCTTGAGGGCCTGCCAGGCCCGGCCACCCCCATGGAAATGATTATAATTTTTTTTATATAATACATATAAACGTCGTATAACTTGCGTGTTTTTTACAGACTTTTTATAAAAGGTTTATTTGTTTTGTACAAAACCATTATAAATCTGCTTATATTTGGATATAAAATCTTCTTAAATGGGGGGAAAATATGAAGAACGTATATTGTGAGTTATATTTGAAGTATAAGATCAATTTTAAATGGGTTATAATTGAGTGTATAAAATATAAACGCAGTTATAAACGAGTAAGATTAGGTAATTATAACTTTGTTTTACAAACCTTTTGGTTCAAAGTATATAAACAAGTTATTTCTTAACTACATTTAAAATATCGTAGATTTATGTGACTGAAAACAATGTCACCATAAATAGTGGATTTATAACTGACGTTTTAACTGCGTATAAGGTGTGTTGTACTTTGGCGACACCTATACCTAATGTACCATACCATCCATGTATATGGAATATAATCGTTTTATAGGCACAAAGATAAACGAGATTATTACTCTTCCGTGTGTAAATTAAATGTAGAAAGTGACACTTTATAATTTGTTTATAAAATTTATGAACAACGCCGACAGATGGCGTTAGTGTCGCTCCTCAGCTATTTTCTCCGAAATTTGGCCCTCCTTCCACTAGGAAGTGACTAGAATGTTCAAAATAGGTGTCATATTGAAGAACATGATGGGACTAATGTTTTAAGTGCAGCGCGGCATCAACAGGCCGATGCACACCTATGCTATTGAGCGTTGTCATTATTCTCTCGCATGTGGCTAGCAGTTGGAGTTTACTTAGGTATCGGGGACTCCACGACTAGAGTCTGGGGTCTCCCCTATGGGGAGTTGAGCGGGAGGAATTTTTGATACCCACTCCATGGTTGTGCTGAGGCATGGCCGGGAGAGAGGGTGAATGTAGGCCTTGAGAACATGGCCACTGCCTCCTAACATGAGCAAACTACTTACTGCCTTGGTAGAGAATTTAGTAATTATAAACCGAATATATTGCTTTTAACCCAACATTATAATGTGCCACTATATTTCTTTTATAAATGAAATATAATATTTGGCCAATTCTTTGTAAAAACTTTATATCTGAATTATATATTTTTATAAAATGTTTCTATGTCTTTGTTTCTGATATATAATATTGATATAATTAGATATATTGTTTTTATACGTGTCATGTATCAAACTTATAAATGCAGAATGTTTCACATTATAACAATTTTATATTGTTATTACATGACGTATAAAAAACAAATTATAATTATTTCCATGGGGGCAGGCCCGGCACGGCCAGGCCCTGCATTCTGCATGAGCCCGCCTGTCTTCCGCGGGGTTCATTTCCCACGACGAGTTTCGCGCACCTTTTCGCCCTCCCTGGAAATTGAAATTAGAATTGGAAAATATTGGGTGGCTATCGGCGGTAAGACAGATGGCGAGGGCCGGGCGGCCATACAGCGTGGTGGCCTCAACGGCAGCGCACCCCGCCGGCTTAGCCTCCCCCTACGGCGCCACGGCCGCGCGGCTTAGGCCGGCTTTCAGGGACGTGTTTGAGGAGCTCCTTACGACTTGCAGCACCTCCGGGAGGCCCGCGTGGCGGCCGGCGCGGAGGTCCCCGTCGAGGCCGTCGCGCCGCATCACGTCCGCGGCCAATCCGACGACATCCGCGGGCTTATCTGCGCCGTGCAGCCTCGGCCAACGGCCCTGCCGACCGCCCGGCCAGCCCGGCCAGCGCGAAATTGAAACGGAACGGGAAACGGTCAAGGATCGAGGGGGTGGGGAGTGCGACGTGCGCCCTCGGGGAGGTCAAGAAGGGTCTGGCAACGGGCGCGGCCCTCGGGGCGCCTCGCCTCGGCCGCCTCGAAGGGGGCTTGGCGCAGCGCGGCGCAGCGTAGCGGGGCTTTGTCAAGAGGTGCCGTTTAAATTATGCATCGCGCGGCCCGGCTGCGGGGCCGCGGCCGTTCCGGGGTTCCAGGGCCGGAGCCGCAGCATGGCGCCCTCGCGGCCCCGCGGCCCCGCGGCCAGCAGGCCAAGTCGCGCCGGGACTTACTGCGGCCCGCACTTCATCTTCCGCGCAAAAACAGCCCTCGCATTGGGGCACTTTGGCCACCAGGGCGTCCAGGGCCAGCGGGGCCACGAGGGACGCGGATTACAGAGTTGGGCGGCCGCGGTGGTAATCTCCATGACCCTCCAGAGACTCTCCTTTTGGAGGACCCTCCTCAGAGATACCCTCCTTAGAGACACTCTCTTCGAGACTCTCTTTGGCGAGACTTGTCGCGAGGCGCTTCTTGGAGAGTCCAGGAGGCCCACTGGAGAGCGTCGTAGATTCCGCAGCAACTTCCTGCGGTCCTAAAACCGACCCTACTTGTTGTTGCAGGAGAAGGACGACGACGACGTGGAGGCGTTGCTGTCGGCGTCCCCGGAGCCGCAGCCCGAGTCCGCCTGGGAAGCCGTCACCCAGCACGTGTGAAGCCCGCGGGGCCACCTTCCTGCACCACGGGGGCCTGCACCGGGGCCTGCACCCCGCCACAGCCTAGGGGCGTTTCACATTCGTAGACGCAATTTCTTCCCGATTTCGAATTTCCCGCGCGCCGCTGTAGGAGCTTTTACAATGTGCATCACACCAGTAGGGGACGCTGCATAGAGAGGAAACAAACTATTCTAGTTTTACGTTTTAGGGTGCTAGGGCCACTGAGTCTGTGTGTGCGTGAGTGTGTGTGCGTGCTGTGTGTGTGCGGCTGGTTGTAGGGGATCTCTTGTCTGGCTCTCGACTGCAATTGTGTTGTGTTGATGTATTGATGTGATCGCCCTTCCCTGTCATTGATCTTGTCACGTCACTTCTTCTGTCGTTGGGCCGCTCTGCCACTCTCACTGAGACGGACAGCCCAGCGGCCTAGCCCGGCCCTGCTGCTCAATCCCAACAACCAAAAACAGATAGGGGAAAAAAAAAACAGATGAAAAAATGTGATGAATCCCTCAGCTGTTTGCGTTTCCAACATCAGCTCAAAGGTAGAGGAATAGCGTGATGAATCATCTTTGTGACTGAAGTGTCACTTTTGTTCAAAGGGCCTTCTTGATTCCGGGGTTGGCGAGGAATTCGTCGTTTCGGGGTAAATGGGAGCTCTAGATTGTATTCCAGATATTTTATTGAGCAACTGTTGCTAGCTACCAAGAATTATTTTCTTATATTCATGTAGACATAAAATTTGTGAAATTATGGAGGTGCAAGGTACAATGATACCGTGGTCACGCGAGCTAGTCAAAAAATTATATTTTGAACCTCGTGATAAATTGAGGAGGTTCACTTTGTTTTTCGCACTTGTTGTAATTTAAAATTTAAGTTTTGATGCATTTTGTGTGTGTTGTTGTCCCTTAGGTATTACGTTATGTGATGAGAAACGAGTTTTAGTATCATTTTCCATTCGTTTTGAATGCGTGTCAGCTGTCTCTTTTCAAGGGAACCTGATTGTATTTCTGTGCCTTTGTGATAGTATCTTCCTTATTAATTGTAAAGCATATTCAAACCCACTGTTGCTACTGGAGTAAACGACAGAATATTGAGACATATCATAAAATAAAGATTTACTCGATATGATATCTATGCGTATAGAAAACCTGTTTTAAATCTGTAACATTTCTCTCTGAACCTCGACCCACTTCTCGCAAAGCAAAAAAATATTGTCTTTATCGAAAATACATGGATGAAACCGCACCTGCTCTTCAGTAAATCTACGCCACCACCTCGCTCCTACACCGCAACATGTGACTGCACCCTTCGTTTTCGGACTGTGCAGGTCCTAGCGTCACAGTAACGAGAGGCCAAATCCTGAGTCAAGTTTGTGTTTGCCAAGCCCCAGACAATAGACGCCTGTACGAGTTGGCTCTCGGCGCACTTTGGCACGACAGTAGACGGGACCCTCTCTCTCTCTCTCGCGCGCGCGTGTGTGTGTGTAACACACGCGTCTTTCGATGCTTCAGTAGATAAGATGGACGTTGGTCGCAGTAAAAAGGAACGCGGTTGAGGCAGGGGCTGCACAAATGACTGGCAAGGCCACGCCACGCCACGCCGGAGCGCGCAATCGGACGAAACTGCCCGACATGACTCACTGCGGTCGAGCTGGGTCGTCCTTCCTCCCGGCCCTGCAGCCCTCCTGCTGCTCCTACAGCTGGGATTGCCTTTTTTTCGAAACCCTCTCTGCTTTTCCCAGAGAATCATTGATCGGATCCAGTCACGCAGAGGAAGAGCGCGAGTGTACGTGCACACACCAACACACGCAAGCGCGCGCACTCACACTGACACACACACACACGCACACACACACTCGAAAACAACAAACGGGTGCCCTGTATTTGCATCAAAACGAACGTCAGTGGAAACAGCGCGCGGTGCGCAGTGTGGGTGTGTGTGTGTGGGTGCGTGGTTGCCGTTGGAACGCACCCCTTTGACATGTCGGATCGGTCCCTTTTCTCTAGCAGTGGACGGGCAGCCAGATCGGCCTGCTTGCCGTGCCAATCTAATTAGGGCGTGGCGTGGCGTGCCCTGCCCTGCCGTGCGGTCGTGATGAACGGAATGTGGCCCTGCTGGCCTGCCGGCCATTATCCGATGAGTGTGGCCGAGCCCTCGGACGCACACCAACACACCGATATACAAATTTCACCTCCCACCGGATATAAGGGAGAGTGGGGCACATAGTGACACGGGGCTAGTAGTGACAGTTCGTGTTTCGTACTGTTCCCGCGCGATTTCTGCCCTCAAAATTTTTCATAAGCTTCGTTTCAAGTCCAAAACGATGTTTTGAGAAGGTGGTGAAAGAGAGAGAAGTGGGAAGGGCGTCATTAAATTGTGAAATTTGACCCTCCGGAAACGAGGCATAACCTAAATTTTCTTTCCATATTTGAAGTCCTGTAGCATGTCTTTAATGATATTTGAAAGCTTATCATATGTTTCTCCGTTTGCTCTACATGTCAATACGTCATATCGACCAAATATTTAATGTATCAGTCCATCTGGATGAAGGAGGTTAAGTTGCAAAGTTTACTTTGTCTCATGGGGTAAATAGTGACAAAAATTCGGGGGTAAATAGTGACACTCGTCTACTGGCATTTTTGAATTAATATGCCAAATTTTTGACTTTTGTTTATGTTTTTTATTAGGCTGTTAAGGTTACTGTAAGGTGAAAAAACTATCTTCTAAAGTATAGGTGGCAGTGCTTTGGTTTTTGGTGATTTAGTTGCTTACTATAAAAAACTTTTACAGCCACAGACTGGACTCCCAACTCCCATTAGTTCCAAAGTTATGAGGGTTTTAGTGTTATTTTAGTCGTTTACTAAAAATTCTCCTTGCGATGAACCAAAAAGTTTACGAAGGTGTGATTTTTTATTTTAAGGCCCAATGAACATGCAAACAGACTAGCAAAGCCGGATTTCACAATATATGCATAGATAAGCTGCAATTTCTGTTTGGAAAATGCGTTTTGAATTTTTTACTGAAATTTGGTAAAATTTTGCTATTTTTTGGTGTTTTTTTGTGTTTTTTGAGAAAAATTCCTGTTTCATGTGGGAATTTTGGAAATCCGGCTTTGCTACGAGATAGGCAAATCAATAAAGAACTTGTAAAACAAAAATCAAGTCTCGACAACTTTTGGTTCATCGCAAGGAGAATTTTTAGTTAACGACTAAATTTGTTACGTAAACTTCAATAACTCAGAAAATAATGGGAGTTGAGTGCCTCAACTTTGGGTTTAAGTTCATCTTATAGTAAGCAACCTGAAACCTAAATACAAACATGATGCCACAATTATTTTGAAAAATGATATTTCACATTTTTTTCACTTTACAGTAACCTTAATTTTTTGGTCTTTATGTTAGGTTTGGACCATTTTAGGTTTGAGGTGAAGCGTTACAAATTTTTTTGAGGTCTGGTCTCAATTCTTGTCGAAGAAACTTTGCGCTCAATATGAAATTTTAGCTTTTCTTAATTAACTGGAAAAGTGACTGTTCCATGTCCTCCAGGATCATTCTACCAGTACAAAGAAGTATTTTAAGTAACAAAATATGAATGTTAATACTCAAAACATTAAATCTTCTTGTAAAAAGAAATTAAACGGGTGTTTTATAAAATGATCAACCTGACCTAACCTAAACTAGATGTAGGACCTTCAAGAATATTAGCCGTCAAACGTTGTGGAAGGGCTGTCTGTCAGTGAGAGTACACAAGAAGTGCAGCTGCTAACATATGGTAAACGGCAAAGCCGCTGCTCCTCACATTTGGAAACCCCTAAACATCTGTATCCTCTTTGATAGAAAAATATTGAGTTTTTCCTCTTAATTTAGATTTGGCACGGTTAACATTTCAGAAAACACTTAAAAACATTTTATAACTATTTTGTGATGTCAAGAAGGGAGGTTTATCAAAGGAAATTGATAGTGTCACTATGTACCCCCAAGCTGTCACTATTTACCCCAGGGTGGGGTAAATAGTGACAGTTGCAAGGTTTACCAGAAAAGCTTTTGGAAGGGATTTGTGTGACTCAGGCAACTCGAATGCTACCTTTTCTTACTCAAATAATACCATACTTCAGTTTTATTTTTAAAAAATGGGAAAATGTCCATTAAGACGCCTGTAGGACCGAAAAGAAATTATCTGTCACTATTTGCCCCCCTCTCCCTTACATTCCAAAAAAGTAGACAAAAAAATTTTAATTTTTTTTTTAAATTGCGCATACCAAAAAAATCCTACAAAAATATCAACTAGTCAAAAATTACTCTCCAGAATTTTATTTTTAAAGAACGAAATAAAAGCCATGGGGAGTTGAAAACAAACACGTTTCCCCCCTCCAAGACGGAGTCCAGTCCGCCGCTGCGAAGTCCTTCGCGGATCGTCTCGGATGTCCTGCCGGGAGAAGGCGTCGGGAGGCGCGCGCCGTTTGGAGGCGAGCATTCTGAACTGCGCCCTTTTAATAGTCCGATCTTGAATGGCACGGGCTTGGGAGGGCTGGAAGGGCTTCGCCGGATTACGCCGTCGTGCCCGCCAGAGCGCGCCGCTGGTGCCCAGCCTGCCAGCCCCGCCAGCCTTGCCCGGATGAGTCCGCTCTTTTGCCGCAAGCCCGCCCCGCCCCGCCCCGCCCCGCCCCGCCACGCCCCGCCACGCCCCGCCTCGTGTATCCGTCTCAACAGTTTAAACGGGGGATGAGCAATGGCGCCGGAACACCACCGACCAAAAAAAAATCCGGTGCGCCGCAGAGCGGAGTACGCAGATTTTTATGCGGGATTCCGTGTCAAAAACACGCCATGCAGCCGCGGGCCAGCCAGCCAGCCATCCAGCCAATCCACAGTGCTTCACAGAAGTGATGACGGCTGCAGAGTATCATGGCAATGATCTGGTCCGCCGCCACCCCGTACTCTGGCGGTGCCGTGCCCCGCACAGCGCACAGCCCGCCACCCCGTGTCCCGGCCGCCATAAAGTCCCCCTTTGGCCTGCACTTCGCACTTCGGGGCGGAACGGGCTATTAGCACACTCCCAGAGCGCGGCGCGCGGGCCGCGCCTCCAGTTTATGTACTTGGCCAGATTTTATCCCCGCGGGCCGGTACTCGTCAACGGCAGGGGCGGGGCGGGGCGGCGAGTGTCGAGGTGGGGCGGGGACTCGTGAAAGCGTCGTCGGCGCAGTCGGTCACGAGGGCAGCACTCGGCCTGGGTATTCAGCTCCCTCACCGTTTGGGAGAGAGAGAAAAAAAGACAAAAGAAAGAGAGAACAAAACATTCCTAACACCTAAAACACAGTGAAAAATCTAAAAAAAAACAAAACAAAAAACAGTGGTGATTCACAACAACCAACCTCTGCCTGCCTCCATTTGGAGATTTTGAGTCGGATGTACACTTCATTCACTACTTCATTCACTCTACGACGACGCTGACGCGCGATCCACGACTGCTTGCCGACCGCACTGTTTTACCGACGCGACTGCCTATAACGACCGAAGCACTCCTTCAGCCTCTTTTGTTTTGCTCTTTATTCGCAGTCAGCCCTGGCCGCCGTTCCTTTTGTTGTGATCATCTACTAGCGAAGCCAATAAAATTGTAATTGTTTCTTGTATTGTGTGATGATGACTTTTTCCGAATCGTCTGTGCCTTTTCAATTTATTTGTCAAGACTTGAACATCCAGTGGACTGCGAGTGGCTTGGAGAAGTGTAAATGCGTGTAAATATCAAACAAGTTTATCAACTCCACATAACCTCCAGCTGGAGTCTGCCTAACCCGCCTGAACACAAGCCGAAGTGTTGGATTGCTTTGAATACTAGATACCGTGTGGAGCAGTCACCCTGTCCACAAATTTATTCGGAGAAGTTTCAAGGTAGGTAGAAAATTTATTCGAACCAACTGAGTACGTACATATGCCGGCTTTAAAATTATATAAGAAACCACTTTATATGCAAGCGGAGTTTGGCGGAATTAAATTGGTTTCACCAACAGGCTGGTTTCACCTCCAAGTTAAATTTCATGTGAGCCATGCAGACTGCTGTTCCAGTAAATGGTTTCTCTGTTGATCAGTCCAGCCTTTGTTGCCTAGATTAGTTCGAATTGTCTCGTCAAAAGTCGCATTGTATTTGTAACTTTGAACGAAAAGTGTCGGAATGCTGGATTGACTTACACTCGACAGTGTTACCTCTTTCGGCGTGCGGGGAGGCAAGCAGGGCCGGCCGAGCGAGTCACAAGAGTGGTTTCGTCGCTCTGTCACTGCCACACTCGCGGGACGTTCCGTGAGGGTGCGAGGGAGACAGGGCTCTTCTGAATCACGCGGCGGGTCAGGCCTCGGCTCGCCGAGCTGGCACTGCAGGCCGCTGCTGGCAGTCGTAGGGATTCGCCTGGAAGATGAAGGGTGGCGCTTACGGCCTTACCGTGTCACGCCGTGTCACGCCGTGCCACGCCGTGTCAGCGCGCAGACGGCAGCCTTCGCGACAAAGGGGATCCATTTCTCCGTCAACTCGACGAGCACCTGTCTCGGCGCTGACGGCGGCACGGCCACCAGGTGGCGGTCCGACGTAGGGCTGCTCTACCCTGCTGGACAAGGGACGCGTTTTAAAAAGCGTCTCCCGGCGGCGTGCGGCAATGCCGGGCAGTGCTCCCCACCTGCCTCCCCGCCTCACCCGCCGGTTCTAATTATTAACTTTGAAAGAAACTTGGTCGTGTCAAAACTCGACTTTCCCTTCTGTAATTAAGGTTGACTCGGAGCGCGCCTTTATCCCCGGAGTGCCCGAGCAGCCCGAGCAGCCTGTCCGGGACAGGAGATAAGCAGCCTCGCAGCCTCACGCGGCGGCCCTCGGAGGAGAGGAAGGACAGGCGAGGCAGCCCGTCGGCGCGCCGCCAAAGGTGCGGCCGGGACGCCGCGCTGCCGCTGCCGCCGCTCCACTCATCAAGGCCCCTTGGCGCGCGGTGAGGTGACGCCGAGAGCAGCGAGAGGCGAGGTTAATTAAATCCCCTCAAGGAGCAATAAACGCACGTCGCCAGCCTAAGGGAACTACTTTCGAGGGGAGTCGAACCTCCGGCGAGAGCAGGTGAACACGGCGCCGTGCTTCGCGGAGGGTGTGGCAGGTGGCGGCCGGCGCGGCGTTTTACGCTGCCGGGGCGACCGCGCCATCGCCTAGGCCCAGGCCCTGGGGGCGGCGGGGGCGGGGCGGCGGCCCTCCGAGAGGAAAACTGATCTACTGTACGGCGGGGGCGAGCGGCGAGCGACTACTCACTTGGATGCGTCGGGGGCGGCGGCGGCGCTGGGGGTGTGGCTGGGTCCTGGATCGGCCTGGAGGGACGGTGGGCCGCTGGTTTTGGCCAGGGTATCGGAAATCGTTTTACGTTCCGGGGGCTCTTCACCCGATGAAATGCAAGGCGGGGCGCGCTGTCTACCTTCGGCCGCGGGGCCGCTCCCCGCCCCGCCCCGCCCCGCCCCGCCCCGCCCTTCGCCATTAGAGACGGCCGGCGGCGTCCTCGGGCTGCTGTCCCGTCGTCGCTTCCGTCCCGCGGGGCATCAACTGAAAGGATTTTTCGTGGTTTTCGTTTTTCTCTCTTTTTTGTCCATTACTACGACGGTATTTGCCGGCGGACGACCTGTCGGCACCACCGTTCCCCTGACTGGAGCGGACCTTCGAATGGACTGAATGCTCCCCCGCCGCCGCCACCGCCGCCCCGCCGCCCCCACACTCCCTCCAGCCAGCCCCGGCACCCCGGCCCGGGCGCCGTTACTCCGAGTTTGATTACCTCCCTGCCGCTGCTTCGGCCCCGGGCCCGGCCCGGAGCCCGGAGGGCGGCGGTCGAGGCGGCCAGGCAGGACAAGGGGAAGTGTATGGAACTCGGGGAAGGCGGCTTTCAACCCGCCGATTTCTTGTAGGTAACGACTGGCGCAGGCGATGATTCGGCCACCGGGCTTGGGGTTCGGCCGGCAGCCACTCAGCCAGCCAGCCTCCAGCTAGTCCCCAGCCTTCTGCAGCCTGTCGCTGATCCCCCCCCCCCCCGTCCCGCCAAAGCACGTCACTTGTTGCGGGGAGCATGAATTTGTCACACCGAAGCCCGCGGCGGCCTGCCATGTCTGGAGCCTCCAGCCAGCCTCCAGCCAGCCTCCAGCGCACTGCGGTCTTCGGCCGTCCGGGGAGCATGTCGACCTGGCCACCCCACTCGCAAAGTGCTTTGCAACATACATGACGAGCTTCTGATGGACACGGGCCCCGCTGGCGGGGGCGGCGGAGGGGAGGGGGGTCGTATGGATGGCCGACACTTTAGAAAGCCATTTCCATTCCGATGCGACGGTGCCTTTGCCGTTATCGCGCGCCAATCTTATTCTTTCCGCGAGCCACTTTTTGCCGCTCTGCTGGCGGCCGGACCGCTCTCCCCCACCCCCTCCCAACTACACCCTTTAGCAATCTTCGGGCCGCTTCGTGTGCGGGTCCCCATTCCAACAAGTGCGAGATTCTCGCCAGTGCAGCGGCCGCGCCTCCCTTATTTAGACCAAAGTGCTGACGCTTCGTCGAGGGAAAAGGGAGGAGGGGCGGGGGGACGGAAGGTCCGAGAATCGGCAACGCGCTACCGTCCGAAACAGAGGGTTCAAACTTCGCAACACGGCAGCATGTGTAACACTCAGTGTACCTCGTACTAGTATTCCTCGCACTAAACACACTCTCTCTCACACACACACACACACACAGACGCACGCACGAACACGGGAGGACACGCCCTCAATGACACTTCCTGCTACTCGTGCTCAAGGACTCAAGGACGCGGAGGCGCCAGCAGCGAGGGGGGCGACAATGTGCACTTGGCACCGCCATTGCAGTGTAGTGGAGGGCCCCTCCGCCATCGAGCGCCACCCAGCACGCGGCCTCCAGCGACGCGCACTCGAGGCAAAATGCCCCTCGCAGCGTCGCCGTCGTCGTCGTTTGCAATCCCAAGCAACCCGTGCGCCGTGCGCGCTCTCGCCGTCCTGGACCCTTTCCCCTTCCCCGTTCCCGGGTGCAAAACGTTTCGCCAAAAACGGCCCCGCCAGCCTCGGCGCGCAGCACTGCGCGGACGGCCTGCACGGCCTGCTCGGCGTGCTTGGCGTGCTCGGCGTCCGGGGCAGGAATTAGCCCGCAGCGAGACGGCAAAGTGGAGTCTGGTTGGAGTCGACTCGACTCTCGGCGGATCCGGGATCCGGGTTTCGGTTGCCCCCGCCCTGGCCCCCGCCCTGGCCCAGGAAAGTGCACTCCGTTACGTGCAACCTCTCTGGCCGCGACACGGAGCCCCCAGGCGCCCCCAGGCCGCGGCGCCGCGGCACCGACAGACAGCCCCGTCAGGAGGAGCGGCGAGGGAGGGGAGGGCGAAAAGGGGAAATCTTGGCCGGGGGAGGAGAGGGGAGGGGAAACCTCGCGAGACAACTGGCTGCAACAGACGCAGAGCCTGTCGCGGCTCATTAATGGCGCAACGTGTTCGCGGCCGTGTCTCTGCAGAGTTTCTCAATTGTGTGTGAGAGGAGCGAGAGAGAGAGAGAGAGAGAGAGAGAGAGAGAGAGAGAGAGAGAGAGAGAGAGAGAGAGAGAGAGAAAGAGAAGACAGAGACACATGCAGTGCAGGACGCAGGCGAAGGGCAGTCGGGGCGGCAGCGAGGGGAGAACGCCTGGACGGGCATGACGGGCATGAGAAGCCAGCCGGGCTACAACGACGGCGGCCAGGCCGTGCCAGAGGAGGCGAAGAAGGCCCCCCTCACCCCTGACACCCATCGGCCGGCCCAGCCCAGCCCATTCCGCGGATGGGTTGCACCGCCCCCGCCGCCTGCGCCTCCTCGGCTTTCACCCCGCTGGTCCCCGCGTCCTCGCCGTCCTCGCTGGGGCGCTGGTCACACGGCCGTAAAAATGAATGGCGCCCAAGACGCCCCGCCCCTCCCCGCCCCGCCCTAATGATCCTCGCGCTGAACGTCACCGCCGGCCTCATGGCGATGGCGCCGCGGAGGCCAAATGGAAAAGCAATTCCAGACTTAAAGCTGCGATTGATTAGGGCGGAGAGAAGGGGATGCCGCCGGCTGTCTCTCTCGCGCCCACACGGGTCGCCGCACGAGTGCGAGAGGAAGAGAGACAGCGAGAACTCCCGGTCGGAATCAGCGCACTGGCGGGGCTGGCAGCCAGGACGGCCAGGCGCGCTCACGCAAAGCGGGGTGGGGCTGGCGGGGCTGGCGACCACCCGCTGGGAAGGGTTGGGGGCGAGGCAGCGAGGCAGCGAAGCCAAAGCCGCGGCTTGCTTCTTTAGACAGACACTTCCGGTCATAAAGTGACAGCGTTTGCTCCCTCCCCCTATCTGCCCCTGGAAAGGGGTGGGGGTGGGCTCGGCGGCTCCCCGCGGCGTCGGCCGGTCGGGCCGGTCGGGCGGGCAGGCCGTCGGGCCGCGCAGTATTTATACCCACCTGGCGATGGACGGCGCGAGGCCGTAACATCAATTCGCGAAATCACGTTTCAAATTAGACGGCGAGTCGTTGACGGCGCGCTAGGTGCTTTGGCACGCCGGCCGCAGCGCAGGTATGCCGCCAGGATAGGCGGGGCGGGGCTGGGGGCAGTGACGTCGACGTCTATCTGCTCCTCACCGGCCTGACGGCCTGACCAGGCCCGACCCTCCGGCTCAGCTCGGGGCGGCCCTGGGCTCGGCCCTGAGTCATTGTGTTGACATTCAAGCCGCAGTGGGTGGGGCTGCGGGCCCGGCGGGTCCGGCGGCGCTCCAGGGTCGGGTCATTCATGCCGTCGCCGACCTTTCCGCCTCGCTTGCAGCGTGCTTGCAGTGCAGCAGGCTGCTTCCGAGAGGGAGCCCCCCCCCCTCTCGCATCGGTACGGAGCGCCACATGAGT